GACATGTGAATTACAGGCCCATCACGAATGTATTTTAATCTGTTCCTCCCACCTAAAATCCCACACAGGTATCAGATAAATCACCAATACCGCACGTAGTATTTGGCACTCATGCATCTCAACCCAACTATGCTGTAAGGCCTTCAGCACAGCTGTCACCACCTGTACGTCAGTACAAATGCACCATCCAAACACCAAAGGCCTAGAGCCCAGACATCTGGCTCAGAGTGCAAGGCCATCAGGAACTGTGAACACTGATACTCGTGAGGGAGGGCCCAAGCACTCTTCTTGGGGGTACCACTGTAGATGGAGACTGCAAAGGCAGCCCGGCAAAGGTGCGGCTCTCATTTTACCAAGCAGCAATTCCAAGAATGCATCTCTGGCATTTCTGAACCTAATACATCTACCCGGCACTAGAAGCACTACTCAGCAACCCAGTGGAGGAAGATATCAGCCTTCTGAGTACCACAAATAGCTCTCACCACCTGGGCTAACAAAAAGCAGCACTGACAATCCCAGATGATATGTATTTCACTCAGTTATCACTGACTAACTTAGATTTCAATTCTGTGGCCACATTATTAACTGACAATGAGAAAGATTAAACACAAAAATCTGTTAATAACAAAAGGCAAAGTTAGTGTGGGACTAAAAGTGTGACATAAAATTTAATATTATTATAACTGCAGGTTGAACATAATGCTTTTATACTTAAATATCCTTTTAATAGTTTAGAAAAAATTTTAAACCAACTATTCTGTTTTTAAAAAAATACTCTGATGAATGATGTCGAGCTCAAATATTTTTTTGCTCGGCTTAGACTTGCTTCAGTAACTCCTATTTTGAATGAAGACTAAAAAAGCGCAACAGATTTAGGATTATTTCTAATTATCAATACTTTTAACACATACCAACCATGTGTAAGTGCTTGCTGTGTAATAAAGGTAAAAATGCCTGGATTCAGTTATTAAGGAAGAACACCAGCTTTCTCTTAATTACTTACTACTCCCTCTACTTTTATAATTATTATGATTATTTTTAAATGACTGGTTTTTTTTTAAGTTTGAGGAAAATATATCAGTGTTTTTCCTTTTTTATCAAGAGAGCAAATTTAATTAGGGCTTAAGTTTACTGTAAGATAAACACCGACACACAAACTTGGTGCCAACAACCTGATAATACTTTTAGCAATTTTCCTACCAGTTTTAAGTGAGCAGAATGTTAGACATGACTGTATGAAATTACTTATAATTTAAAACATGAGTTTTAACCCAAAAACATTATCAGGAGTTTTGTAGAGGTTTTTCTTAATAAAAAGGAAAAATCAGAATAAATACTGAAACACTCTCCCATTAAAAAAAATAAATCTAATTCTTTAATTTCATGCTTCAAAATACAATAAAAATGACAATGCCCAATTTCTTTTGGTCTCTACTGCAGGATTTACAGGTTCACAAGGAACTATTAAAGTTTAATGAACTGAATAGACTATTCACTAATAATTAACGGTTACAACATTAATTAATGTTACAACATTTAACTTCTACATACCTGGCTTCATAACTACAGGACGCAATTTCAGCCTTTGACAAAACAGAATCAATTCCATTTGTTTGTATAGAATCTTGATTCTCCCATATCGATGAATCTGGTATATCTGCTTTAAAATAATAAAATTCAATAATTAAAAATTAAAATTGATTTTCAGTTGATTGCTTCATGTTAAAAATTGATTTTCCTCCATTTATATTTGAGAAATTTATTTCCATTATTTCATATACAAATACTTAAATTCCAAATATAATTATATTATATTCCAGTTAAATTTCTTTTAATAAAAGAAAACTCTCAGCTCTGAAATTGTTTTCATTAGGTTCACTGGTAGTCAGATGAAGATGTATCATTATAAACTCACTGTCATTTTAATAGAAACTTTAAAAATATGCACCAAAAGGTAAGAATGAAATACCCTGTAATGTAATCCCCTGAGGTGAGTAACAATGGAAAGTGGTCGGGGAGATGAACTCCCTTTTGCAGCCTGAGAAAGACTGTACAGTTTTCCGCAGTGGGAAAAAGTGGAAAATGTAAGTGCTCTTGGCTGTTTCCTAGAAGAACTAATGCAGAATTTAAAGCTAATTAACTTATTCAACAAACATCAAATTCCTACCAGACACTTGATCAAACAAGAGTTACATACCATAAAGAGGTTTCATCCTAAATTTAAGCTTTTTCTTTTGAACATACCTCAAGTAAGCAGAACTTCACAACATTACAGTATTTCCCTTTTTAGGTAATTCTAATTTTGGCTTAACAACGCATGCTCAATTAAAAAAATTCAAGTGCAATCAGAGTGTCAACTGCTTTACAGAACTCAACCCTCCATAAATAACACAACTTATCCACATTTAACATCCAAACCAAATGTACAACTCTGCACAAGAATGCAAAAGTATAGTCTAGAGAGCCTGTTGGCAGTATGCCACTTTACTTCCTTTGCCATTTTTAACTTCACTAATAATTGAGAAGAAGATTAAAATAAAACTTTAGTCACATGTGTCAGGATAATACTGCTAAGTTACAAGAAGAATATGCTGAATACAATATAATGTATTCTAAAAACAATCTCAGCTGCATCTCTATCACATTAACAAAAATACTATTAGTAAAATAAAACCAAAATATATCACTTCAACTAATTCTAGACAAACCTCTAAGAGTATACTGTAAAAAATACAAAGCTAGCAAAACGAGTATTTCTCTTCTGCTTATTCAAAATATTTAATGTTACATGAAAAATCAGCCAAGTTAATGCACCACCAGGAAAACATGGCAAAGTATCTGGCTTCATGGACTAAAGTAACTCTTCCTCATTTGATAAGTAATCATTAACATCTTTTAACCAACTATGCAACCCACAGCGGCATTTCCAGATTACAGTACTCATCTATGCAACATAAACGCAAATCAAAGCCAGGACTGGCATCAGGGAGTAAAATCCTACTTGCATCAAAAAAATAGAAACAGCAGAACAGGTAATGTGAGCTATGGTTTCTGATAAAGTCTGAGTAACACATGCTACACTTACAAATTCAGACAGAATGTAGAGCAGATCATCCAGTGTTTCTATCATAGTCCATTAATCTAATCTTGTAAGAATGTTAGAATTGTCAGTAACAGTCCAATAGAGGGTGCTACTACACCAAAATAAAGAAGTGCGGAAGCCTGAAAAGCCATAATCAGTTGTCTTTCAAAGGTGTAACCGTGAGTTATGACTTAAATGCCAGGGGTTGTGTGACTTTCATATTGGAAAGGCTCGTCAACCTCAATTCTTGCCTGCATATTACAGAAAGCTCATGCTTGAGGGGAGACAGTGGTCCGTGTGCCCCCAACGCCCTGGCCTGAGAGGCAGCACTACTGTGTTCCTCTTCACTGGGCTGGCTGACCTGTTTCACAGTGCAGCAGAGTGCGTGGGTCCCTCCACCAGCGGAGTGAGTTGCTTCCTGTGAGACTCAGGGAAATGCAGGGACACACTGTCCTCACTGGAGGGCAAAGTAGAGAACTGCTCATCAAAACTTGACAAACTAGACGGGCACATGGAGAATGTGGAGGAACGGTTGGAGAAATCAGAGGCCAGGACCCAAGTCTGTGAAAAAGAAATCGCTGAGAATAAATCTATGACTAATACGATTTTAAAACTGTTGTTCTTTAGAATGAAAACTGAAGTTGTCAAAGGGAAAGAAAACATCTGCATCCTGGGAATCCAAGATGGGGTCAAAGGCCCTAACCATGCTATCTAGAATATAAATGCTTCAAATATAAGATCATCAATGAGAAGTGTCACTGCACAGTACTGAGGACACAGCTTCCAAAGGAAGCCATGGATGGATGAGATACCCTGGTCATGAGAGTTTCTAAATATGTTAATAAGAAAGCCAAGTTTCTAAGAAGGACCAAAGATGCTTGTTTGTCCTAATACTGTGTAGAAACAAACAAGCCAAAATATCAGAGCTCATTTTCTTAAGTTAGTGTGCAGAAGTCAAAGATTCTAATTCCTAAGCTGATCCATATTTTTAGATTTGATGTCACATCTAATAATGACCCTGAGAAAGATTGGGAAGTAACAAGAAAAGAGGAACAAAGGCAATGGAGAAACAAGTTCTGACTACAAGCTTAGCTGCAAACAAACTTTGTAATATTGAACAATCTATTCTCTATGTAGCAAATATTTTTTTGGCAAGGTCCAAAAGGCTTAGGATATAAAAGTGAATGACATCCAGTTAAGGCAAGAATTTAAAATCAAAGTATTATCATCACCTTCTCCAGTAGAGGAAAATCTACTTTTGAGTTTCCAATGTTAAGCGAAATTTCAGTATTTCTCGTAATATTTGCCTTCTGGTGTATCACTCAGATACAGAGGTAAGGAGACATGAATTATAAAAGGTCATTAACATTACAAAAATCCAAATCCAGTGAATTGACAGATGAAGACAAGCAACTAACTCCAATATCGTTAGTAAACCATTTATGGTCAGACAGTGATGGAAGAAAGACCAAAGAGAACCAGGTTCCTGACAGCTCTCAGAAATACACATCTGAGGGAAAAACCTAGATGTAGACTGCTGCAAAAAGGATGTGTGCAGCAAACTCAGACTCTACCCAGGAGAGACTGAGCACTGAGCAACTGAGAGATGCTACCAAATATACACACTCTGGCTATTGTTCTTCAACATTCTCTTAGTATTTACTGAGAACCCAATTATGTGGCAAGTATCATACACTTCCTAAAAGCTGATTTCTTATTTACTAGAACCTAACATTCCATCTTTTTAATAATACCGCACAGAAAATAAAAACTATAAAACCATACTAACAGTATTTAAGCTAACCACAAAACAATACAAGTAAATCTCACCAACTTCAACAGCTACCATAAGATCTACTCATGATACAATTTCTAGAATCTCAAAAAATCTCTGAAAAGACTCAAAAGACCAAGTAAGTCCTAGAAAACTTGGAAAATACATGAACATATACAATATTAAGTGTGCATCTGGTTATTTTCTTTCTTATTTACACCATGTATACCGATGATTACAACCTGTAATTACAAAAAGGTCCTCAGAGATGTCCACTGACTTTCCTGTTGTCTTAATAGAGGTTTCATCCAAAACAAGTCGAAGGTTTTATAACTGACAAACTAGGAAACAAATAGTTGGGATAAAGGCAACCTGCGTACTTTCCATTCCATGGTATATCTACTTTGGATTTCTCTGCAAGAGCAACTGTTTAAAAATTTTGGGGTTATGAAACACATCCATGAGGGAACTGATCAGTGTCGATGAATTTAATTTCTAGGCTAACATTTCTCAGGGAATTTACTCAGGTGAGAAAAAAAATAAAATACATATAAAAAAACCCTTGGTACGTATTATGTTTGGTATAACATGATTTTTGTTTATTAATGTCTAAAGTTTAAAAGTTAAGAGAGCTAAGCAAAGCTTTCACATTTCTCATATGAAACACGTACAATTAAAAAATATGGGGAATAATTACTGGTATTTATATTCTTATCCCAATAAATTAAGGTTCTGGTTACTACTCCACTCTATATAACTCTTGAACAGGAATTCATAGTGTCCTTACTGTGACAGAGAACATATGATTAGTACTTGACCCTCAAGTCTAGGTAAAAGGCTTCTACTCTACAAAACAGATGTCCACGATTATCATCCCTAATCTAAATTTATAAAAAGCAAATTAATCACTTTGTGAAACGTTTTTCATCCTCTTCTCCAGGAAACAAGCACTATCCAATTTGAAAAAATACAACAATAAATCAGTCATCTGTATTATACTCAAATTTAAAGATATCATGGCCATCCTTAAAATTCTCAAATGTAAAAGTGAATGGATGCAATTCGGCTCTCGTTTCTAAAGCAATGGACTGCAACAGCAAAATCCAGAAGTCATCCATCCACTGGAGTTCTATGACTGCAAAGAGCTCATCGGTACCTGCTTTGTCTTTGAGGATTTTATTCTGGTAATACTGCCACTCCAGCTGGGGGTTAGCACCGGGACGTAACGGTGCCCTTCCTGTGCCTCTGTTACTTGTAACAGCCACTGGTTTTCCTGTAAGGAAAAGACTGAATTATTTCTGTATCTAAGTACAAAGAAATGTTAATGACATAAAGGAAATTTTTTTCAAGGGATCTTCCATATATGGCTTCTTTTTGTTTAGGTTCTTTTTAGGCACTTATCCTTACAAAAGTGAATACCTTTGAGGATTATCAACACCATGCAAGCATCATCTATGTTTCTCAACTCCCCCAACCCCGCAAAAGGAAATTACTGGTGACAATTCTGACATTCCTATTAAACATAAAGGCAGTATTGTCCCTTAGCTTTCTCCTGGTTGTATTTGACTTCTTTTTGTCTGTTTTGGTACAGGGAATTGAACTCAGGACCTTGTGCTTGCCAGGCAGGTGCTTGCACCACTAAGCTACACCCCTGGCCCTTATATTTGATTTCTTACAGTAGAAAGCAGGCAACTCAGGTTCTAGATTTGGACTGGAGAGGTTGGGGAGAGAGAAAGAGAAACTGAGTGTGTATATATACGTTCTATATTTACAGTATTCAAAAAGCAAGCTCAACATTTATATTTATCTTTCAATTTTACAGCAAGAGATATAAATCAAGTATATATGCCTAACAATCTCAATCTGACCTACCATGCAACTAAACATGACTATACAGTTATTCAATTTTTACATTACTTAGAAAATTACATTTATGTATAACTGCCTTTTCTGTGTGTGTATGTTATTAGTTAACTGTAATGCTGTAAAGCAACAGTGTGAATGATTCACATACATTTAATGAATAGGACCACATAATGAATACATCTATGAGGACCACACACACATACACAAAATCACTACCACCAAAACAGAACTGGCTGTGGGCACATGCTTTGCATGCACAAGCGTCTGGGTTCCACCCCAAGAGCCAAAACAAAACAAAAATTTTTTAAAAATCGAAAAAAAAAATCGAAAAACATTTAAAAAGTTACTAAGTTACACTCTGTAAATTCAATTCTTTAATATTCTAAATATTCGTTTCAGAGCTGGAGCAGCAACTACCCATAACCAAAAAAAAAGCCCTGATATTTACCCCAGCAGTTTCTGTACCATAACTAATGATTCTTTTCATAAGGGAAGCACTAACTCTCAAAAGATAATGTTAATATAGCTGTCTCTTTCAGAGATAATTACTGAAAAACCCAGAATAAATGTCTGTAAAAGTAATGACTAGTTCACAAATACTTGACCATTTCATTGAAATGTAGACTACCCTAATGACTTCACATATTTTAGCCATATTCAACAAAACGAAATTATTCTACAACCAAAAGTTGGGATGTTCACTTGCACCAGGACAGCTAATCAGGTTATTTGCTCAAGAGAAAACATATACTCAAGTCTCAAACACACATTACCATAAAGTTTCCAGTAACGACTAGTAAGAAATATACAAAATGCCCAATGCAAGTCTCTTGCCTATATTTAGATGATATATCCCTCAACTGAAGGTATATATTTTCCTTGAAGACTTATCTCTAAAGGAAAGTTTTCTAATTTGTATACAATTTTCTTGATAATGCAACGCCAAAAACTTGGAAGTAGTAACTGATTTTGCCAAGGAAAACCAGAGTATTTTTCAAAAACCATTTTGTTATCCCTTAGAATGTCTATTCATAATACTATATTCATTTTCTTAAAAATAAACAAGAATACAGACCTTTGAGATCTGGTCTATTTCGTATACCCACTGACACAAAGAAGCAATCCATATCAACATGCATTATACAGCTCTGATGTCTGGGTGAACTCAATACTGATACATTTCCTAGAAGGAAAAAGAGAACATTCAAACCCCAAACTTCTCATATTAAAAAATCAGGTCTACTTAATTTTAGAAATTATATTTAAAAGATGCTTACAAGGACAATGAACTCTAAAAAAATTATATATTACTCTCAAAAAGAGACAACATTAGACTATTTCTACCACCTCAACAGCACTCAAATCTCAGGATTTTTTGGTGTTGTTGTTATCCTAAGTTATTTGGAAGAACACAATTAGTACTGAAACAATTTTAAATCAACTGTGATACCGTAGTATCTTTTTCTAATCTATATTCTAATAGTATGTAATTATAATAATTTGTCAAAATGTTCATCTTAAAACTATGTCTGTAATTATTACATAAAATGCGATAACTGTTTTCATCCATTTTGTTACGTGGGCCTAAGCAATTTGATCATCATCATTCCATGCAGTTTACAGCACTCCTAGATAAAACAATTCAAATGGGCATTATTATCCAGTGCTTGGAGGTGTCAGGCACCAGAGGTTTACAGCGATCAATTCACTTAAATTCTTGTAACACTGTGAGGGAGGAAATCATACTGTCCCCACTTTACAGATCATTAACAAGCTCAAGTCACACAGCCAGTTAGTGCCTAAACTGGCATTCAACTACCATGACGCTGTTCTTAATGAATCCACTTCAAAAACAGCCCATAAGCAAAAAACTGTATGTAAGTGGAATTGTTTTCCTTATGTCATCAGATGCCCCCGTAACAGCAGCATGTGTACTGCATTTATGGAGATGAAAGCAAAAGTCCTCTCCTAAGGACAGCAGCTTCCAATCTCCCTGAGCTACACAAATCCCTCAGGGTTCCTTTAACCTTAAAACAGGTTAAAAAATGTTAGGATTAATATTAATTATTATTTATAATAATAAAATAGCACTATGAGGGTTATTTCCCCTAGTCCTCCAAGATACAACAGGTCCTGGAAATAAGAACCCTGAGTTTAGCTGGACATGATGCTTTCCAATCCCAGCACCCTGGAAAGCCAAGGCAGGATGACTCCAAGTTTGAACCCATTCTAAACAACTCGGGTTTATCTCATGGCCCAAGTCAAACCAAACCAAACCCCCACAAAAAACAAAAACAAATATGGAGTGGGGAATTTGACCTCAAAGTGAAGGCCCTGGGTTCAACCCCTAGTATAGGAGGAAGAGGGGTAGGAAAAAATTCTGAGCTTGTAAAAAGTTCTCATCTCAGAGTATTCTGACAGGTTTAAGAATATTAATGTTGAGCATTAGCCTTTACAATAGGCTTCTGAAAACTTCAGATTTACTCTCTAAGTCACAGGCCACTCCATCTACTAAATTGTAATTATGACAACATTTTACCTAGTTCTGTGTACAAAGCATCAAACCTTTGTGTTCTCTTTCTTAAGCTCACAACCTCAGGAGGCGAACATTACTGATCCCTATCACTCTGCTGCAGAGAAGAAACTGACACTCAGAGAGGGGAACTACCTTGCCCATGGTCCTGCAGCAGAAGAGCTGGCGGAGGCAGCATTTGGCTTCAGGCTAAGCTACCTACCTGCACAGCCATATACATCCTTCCTACCCTCTATGTCACCTCAAGAAAGAAAGTAAATCTTTAGCAATCACAATTCTGCTGTATAAAAATATCATAAATGTAATATAAACAACTCAAAATAATGGTTTTAAACAGTCAAGAAGTATAGAATGCATAAACCAAATTATTTACCAAATGCTTACATACAATAGAAAACTTTCTCATTTTATTCCCATGCATGTAACTAATTCATGTTTCCTGAAATTTTCAAAATTAAATGACCTCTACGTTACAAGGCCAAGATACAACATAATGATAATCTAACACTTACAGCATTATTCTAAATGTTTCATAAATACCAGAAAACACTGTTAACTAAGAGCATGTAGGAATACATCAAACAAGAAAATACCACAGGAAAACGCCATATGGAAAGGACCTAACTTTCTAGGACAGAACCATGAGCTTCTCTCTGTGTATCAGTTTCTACAGCTATAAGCTAAAGGATAATATATCTCTGCCATCTCTTTAACTTAAAAAATATACCCTGCAATTTGTCAAAAGCAACTAAAACTTCACACCAGGTACTAATTTATAATAACTTGTCACAGAACAAACTGCTATTGTTGGGTTTGCTATGTAGGGTTTTGATGTCAAGGAATGTATTAAAAAATAAAATACAATTAAGCAACCTACTTAGAAATGACAATAGTTAATCTCACTAAATGTTTAGCACTACAGTTACAAAATTATTATTTAAAAATCAAGATGATGCAGATTCCTAAAAACTAACAGTTACTTACCAAATCCATTTCACTGTAAGGACAGTTAAACAGAGTAGGAAAAACACTATATTTACACAGTTCAGAACTTCAATGACCAGTAAGGTCTACATAAGGAATGAATGCTCAGAATCCCAACTGTAACACTGTTTAAATTATTTGACAATTTGTAGTTTGCTACAATTAAATCTAATTTTTTAAAAACAGATTTAGTAGTAAGAAAGGATCCTATAACCCATTGTACTTACGTTTACTTATATCACATAGCCTGGCATTCCTATAGACTTTAACAGTGGGAACTAAGCACTGATCAGAATACCAATGACAAGGACAAAATGATCAAGTGTAACTATTTCTTAAGAAAACAATTTTAATAAGTATCTACCTGTGTCAGTTACAACAAGGGTAGACCTGCCTGTTTTCAATTTTTTTAATTTTTCCCTTCCTGGAAAGACACCACTACTTTGTCTTTGCAGGGTATTGACAAACTCAGTCAATTCACACTTCCACGTTGATATGTGGTGCAGTCTTGAATGAGAATAGAAGTCTGAAATAAAACTAGAGTCTGAAGGTTTGAATGGCACTGATGGTGCTGCCTTACTAAGAGCAGATAATGAAGAAGTGCTTTTTGTGCTTGAAGGCCCCTGAACAGTGGAATGGTGAGCACCGTTGATTTTAGCGTTACTGTGCAAAGTGGGCGAAAGAGAATTAGTTCTGTGTGGATTCCGCAAAGTCTCTGCGTTTCCGGTGCTTTGCTGCAACTGGTGCAGTGTGCAGTCTCTGAAGTCAGTGCTGCTCTTCTCCACCTTCTCCTCCTCCTCAGCAGAGTCTGGAGAAAGCCTGCTGGCAATACTGTTGCCCAGGGGAACCAAGCAATCCTGTGTCTTTAAGGCACCATTAGAGCTAGGAGTGTGTCCATTAAAAATGGCAGTGCTGCCTCTGGGATGCGGAATTCCATTCTGCTTCCTTCTTGGAAGGGTGTGCTCCAGGTCTACAAAACTAAAATCATCATTTGCATCTTCTTCATTCCAACTGTTCATTCCATTGACTTTGACTTCATGTTCTGTCTCAATCTTCTTAATTATGTGATTTCTAAAGCAGGAAAAAATGTAAGTTAATAATGTCTGGCTTTAAAGACAGAACAATTTTTCATATAAACATTTTCATAGTGACACACATTTTGGCATTCATTGCTTAATACCCGAAAAGTTAAGGCTAGGGGCTAGAGCTCAGTAGTACAGCCCTTGTTTATCAGCAGGCATGAGTCCTTGAACTCAACCCCCTATACTGCTCCCCTCAAAACCCTAGAAAGTTACACTACAAATTCTTTTTTTATTTAAAAAAAAGACAATTCTTGTCCAAACCAAAGCAGCAAGGTAATTTTTCAATTACTTTTCCCACGAATTAATCACAACCTATAAACTCTAAACATCCAGTTCCAAAGCACAGTGTTAGGCACTTATTTACTATATAATCAATAAATATTTACTAAATTAATATAACTTTCATAAAAATGATAAAACAACTTTAAATCCAGGTAAATGTGTAGGGGTAGTTTAATAAAATTTACATCAAGAAAAACAAGATTGTCTGCCGTATCAGCACAGATATGGCATTTCATTTTCAAGAAAAGCGTATTTAGATGTCCGGGTGGTCCCGAGACAATCAAGACCAAATTTCCTAACGACAGGTTTATAAATGCAGCACTTATGACAAATGTTATATTAAAATCTAGATCCTGGCTCCTGGAGGTGTTTTTTTACTAATGCTCTATAATACAGGCAAAACTCATTTGCACTCATAAAAGTCATCTATCTAAATAACAAAGGCAAAACTCTGTATTGCAGAGCAATAATTCATTTATTTAGAAATGTCCATAGCAGCTGTGTAGCAGGATGTGGTGGCACCAAATGCCTATAATCTCAGCAGCTCAGGAGGCTGAGGTAGGAGGATCGCAAGGTGGAGCCAGGGCTGGGGCAATTTTTCAAAAACCCATCTCAAAGTAAAGGGAAAGACGTAGGGATATAAACCAAGCTCCTGGGTTCAATTCACAGAACAAAACAATAGAAATTCCACAGCAGTAACCCAATTACAGTGTAGGCTCAAGGTGAGTATAGGCCATACATACAGTACCAGGACACAGGTGAGATTACCACAGCAGTACCAGGTTTGTCTCAAGTCCCTCATCCTAACACTAACTTCGTTTATTAGTAACAATGATCTAATGACACAAAAAAGTCACCCAAGTCAGATGCAAAACACTGTCACCCATTTCTGAGTTGGCAGGTGCCTCTGGCTAACCATCTCATGGTACATGACAGCCAATTCTGAGCAGATCCAGTACTCACAGATGATCGGGCCAGTGAAAGGAAAAAAAGACAAACTGGAAATGATTAAAATAGGAAGGAAAGAAAACCTAATTTGTCCCATCAAAGAAAGCTTGCCCCTTAACATAAAGAGAAAGCAAGGAAGCAAAAAGTCACATATGAGCACTTCAAAGGAATTTATAAAATATACTGAATATATCACACACCCCTTTCCATTACAGAAAGTAACAAAAGTATATTAGAAAGTTTTACATGTAGTTTTCTGTGTCAACATTGAGATTCTTTACATAAATAAAAGCAACATCTGCAACAGAGATGCATATACTGGTAAGAAAATACACTGGTAGTGTACTTTTTTTCCTGTACTAGTTTTGCAGAAAAATGAAGATCTGCAAAGTGGCTGTACTGGGGCAATCACTGGTAGTTATACATGTACTAAGCAATAGCGTAAATACATAAAGAAGTGAAACCCAGCAGGTAAATTTTCCCAAAGTTGTCAACAAAGAAGAAATCTGAAAACAAAAACTCTATTTTTTTAGAATAATGAAGGAAAGATTTTATATTCTGTGGGCAGATTTTTAAACTACTTGGGATGTTCTTTGACACTATTTAAAAAATTACAAGTTTAAGGTAACATGAAAAACATCTGAATAAACTTAGAAACAAATACATGTTAAAATAACAACACAATTACAGAAGTTAGTGATACTGGATCCTCCCAGGTTCATTAGCCTCCTGATCTTTTAGAAAAAAATGTATCGAATTCCCAAAGCAAGCAATTTAATATGAAGACTAATGATACTGAACCACCACATATACAAGTTAGAGCAAATACCAATTAATTGTGATACCAATTTACCCAGCATTATTGCAATTAAATCTTAAATCAATATATTTTTTAAAAACTCAGCCACGTGTAATAAAGGCTAGACTTACTCCCAATTCTATACCTAAGGATCATCAACTAAACTTCCACAGGTATAAAATATTTACATACTTTAAGAATTTTTAGTTTTTCAAAACTAAACTATAATTGTAGAATTTTCTTTAATTGTATTTGTATGTATGGCACACAACAAAAGCACAGCCAATATAGTTAAAGCAGTTTTTGACAAAGCAACATTGCACAGTAAGTCACTTATAGGGAAATAATTGCTCTCGTGAAAATCCATGAAAAAACTGTACACATAAGATCCATTAACTTGAACATCAGAATCTGGTATGTAAATATTTCAACGTGTTTATTATTTGTTTCTGTCTGTCTTCAGCAGAGCAGGGGCCATACTCACTGCTAAACACTACTTTGTCATTGTTCCAAACCAGATGAACTTACACCTTGTTGTTGAGCTGTTTGGCTACATTGCTTGGGCCTGCCACAGGGTCCTCAGGCTTGCGTACGGGATTGAAGTTGAGACTTCTCTGTGCATGGGACTGCTTGGTGAACAACTGATACGGAATGTAGGATAAGAGTCGTCCCGCTTTGATGCTGAAACAGAACAGCAACATCCATTGAGAATTCCATACTTGATGAAAGTGAGGTTCAGGGAAAATCAGTGCTCTTAAAAACAGAACTGTATCATCAACAACAGGCCATCTGTTTTCCTAGCTTACTACTCCTCCGTTTTTAGTGGTTCTAGTAAACAGTGATCTTACTAAAGTATTTAAAAATAAGATAATCTACTCATGAAAAAAAAAAATAAATTAATGGCCAATAATCTTACAGGAGAGGAAAGGAAACCAAAACCACATGGCACTATGAAAGAAATGTCAAGCACCAGCTAAGCTCATCAATATTTAATCTTCATGACTGATATATTATCACTACTTCCCTGGTTAACTGCTAATAGAGAACTATGAACACTTTATTTTCTCAAAGTCTACTCTTACAGTAAGTGTTTTCAGGATTAAGGAACTCAGTGAGGAGTCTCGGTTTTCTTCCGGTACCAGGAATCGAACTCATGACCCCGTGCGTGCCAGGCAGGCGCTGTGCCACTGAGCTGAATCCCCAGCCCCCTCAGTGAGGAGTCTCTATTTTCACATTTCATGTAAGATCTACTACATGTGGGAAAACTAAAATTAAAAACACAGGACAAAATAAAAAAATAAGAGTAATGAATATTTTGCACTGTTTCAATATTAAGTGTGATGTTAGATCTACGTTCTTACACATGCCCTTCATTAGCTGAAGTATTTTCATCATCAAAGGGTACTGGCATTTGTCACATGATTTTCTACATTTATTAAGATGATATCAGTATCGGAGTGGTAAGAGACAAGCCATCTGAAGATATGAACTTAAAAAGGCAGAAGCTATTACAAGACATCCAATTCCAAATGTTCACTAGTATCAACCACCCCTAAAATCCAGGGGAACTCTAGTACTGTAATACTAGGCTGGTACTCGCACTTCTTTTTTACTTTAAAATTAAACCTAACTTATCTTAAATTGATTTTTATTTGCCAACAGTCATATATATGGCAACTCTATTTTTAAAAGTATAATTTTCACTTCAAATTTTAAAAAACTAATATGCTTATGCAAATACCCTGTTTTAAAACAGGTGGCTCCATAAACATCAGGAAATATTTCAAAATAAAGTCTTTGACTTTCAATTCTAAAACACACACTATGGAGATCATTCTTTATTAGGCAAGTAGTTAATAAATAAACTGAGAATAGATTGAAAATACTGTCACAAATTCAAATTTTTAACTTTTATTTTCTTAAATGGTACTCTGTATTTAAAAAAAAAAAACTATAAGGAATGACTGAATTATCTTACAGAAAACTGATCTTAAGAACTAGGTCAACAATTGAGAATACAGGAAAACACTGATACTATTTTCTTAAAATACACATGCATATATACACATAAAATGGTACATTCTATGTCCTTTATGTAATTATATTGACAAGTATTTAATAATTCTACCTAAATACCTTATACTATACCCAAATGCTAAAGCTACTAACTTATGACAGTAAAGAATATATTAGCCATAAGACACTTCAACTTTAATTTACCCAAGTGGATTTATTATCAGGCTAAATCAAAAGTCAGGTTACAATCAAATGCTAGAATCAAAACCAACTTTTATCCCTTTCACAGTTGGTCTCAGTTGCCAAACTCTGAATTTCTGTTATCATACAGTATTATCTATCTTACATAGACAGCACTTCCATCCCAGAAAAGAAATACCTAATCCCTAAGGTAGAATTCCACCTTAACTGTCTACCCTTTTCATTATGGGCAGCTATAAGGGATAAGTATTGAGTAAAACTATATCTAGTATGCAAGCTGCACATTTTAGGTAACACCAAAGTGTTAAAAACATAAAAAAATCCTAATATCATGCTCTCTTCTCAATCTTACTGACAACATACAGGGGTGATACAGGTTATTACAAATGCTCTTCATGGTCAACACTGATGGCACTCAAGGGTATAGGACCATAGCCAGAGCCTAGTAAGAGTCATGCGGCCCAGCAGAATTCTTAGGCTTATGTAAGTCCACAGAGATTATTATAAATTTAGATGGCCAATTTAAACACATAGGTCTCAAGCCAGACAGCCTAAGAGATCCTTAATGAAAAGTAATTAAAACATTATAGTAATATTACACAAGAAATTCTTGTAATTTGCAACCCAAACCACTATCAGTTGTGTACTCATAATTATCCATTTATCTACTTTCAGGTATATAAACACTACCTGAAAGTACATTTTTAAGACTTAAAAATATTTCTCAGGGGCTGGGGATTTAGCTCAGCGGCAAAAGCGCCTGCCTGGCAAGCGCAAGGTCGTGAGTTCGGTTCCCGGTACCAGAGAAAAACCAAAAACCAAAAACCAAAATAAATAAATAAATAAATAAAACATTTCTCAGAGGCTGATTTCTAATATTTATTCGTTTGTTTACTTATCTTAAACATAAAGGAATGGTATTAACATTTTCTACTATTCTACATACAAAAAAGGGAGAAAAAAGAGCCAAACACTAAAACTCAAATTTCAAAACCAAAAGGAGATGATATAAAGAAATCTTTCACTTCATAAAATACTACAAGGTTTCTTTATACCCTGATTTTTTTTCTTCCCTGAGACAAGGGCTTGCTATGTAGTTCAGGTTGTCCTCAAACTCATGGCAAGCCTCCTACCCTCAGCCTCCCAAGTGCTGGGACTACAAATGTGCACCACCATGCCAGCTATACCCTTAATTTTTGACATGCACTGAAAATATATTCTGATATAGGTGAAAGAGTTTACATTCTATACAATGGTTCAGACACATATTCACCACTAAGTGAAATACTCATCCAAACTGGAAAATCTTACTTCTTGCTTTGTCCTTAAAGCCCAGGTAAAATCACCTCTCAAAAACAACTTTGTATCTAACAGTTTTCTGAATCATATCCTATTTCAATCAGTTGCCAATGATTACACTGGCTGTTGTGATCAGATTCTAGAAAATTTTCAAAAGTTAAGATACAAAATAATTTACTATGTTGGGTTGTGTTCAATTTTTTTTTTTTTTTTTTGCCTTTGTCTTTTTGACTATGTGATTCAGGGTGGCCTTGAACTCACTTTGTAGCCCAGGTTGACCTTGAACTCGTAGTGATTCTCTCGCCCTCAGATTCCCAAGTGCTGGGATTATAGGCCTGCGCCACCATGCCCGGCCATGGGTTGTGCTCTATTTAATTTAGTCTGTATTAGTAGTGTTTTTTATTTGAAACAATTCTGCACATTAAACGTTTTTTAGTTCCAATAAGTGTCCCATTCATTCCCTATTAGAAAAATAGCATCTAACACCTGTTCCCTTATACCTGGACACTCACTCAGGTAGTCATTTTCCTTCTTCAATGGTGGACTTAAAACAAGAAAGGACCAAATTATATGCCAAGAAAAAAACAAAAACAAAACTGAGCTATTCTTTGCTTGTTATTTCATCACTAAGCAAAATTCAGCCTTAATATGTTCCAGCCAGCTTGAACCACTGGAGTATGTGCATGACTATCCCATGGTGCAACTTGCACTACTTATGGTACAATAAGTGTGATGTGAACACTTCTATCAATAATTTTACTAATACAATTAATAAAAAGCTGCTAGATGGGACAGTCATGCACGTACCTTCTATCTGAACACTTCTATCTGAACACTTCTATCAATAATTTTACTAATACAATTAATAAAAAGCTGCTAGATGGGACAGTCATGCACGTACCACCAGTGCTTCAAGCTGCCTGCCAGGGAGACATACAAATTCTGGCCCTGTCAAGAAGGTGCTGAACATTAAACTTGTGCTTCCTCTGCCCCACCTTCAATGACCTAAACTTTCCAACCACTCACCAAGGCAATCTCTGTGAACTCAGAAGAGTAAGTAAATATGAAGATATGCGTATGACCTTGTGCCCTTGCTCCTACACCGTCCAGGCTGTTTTTCTTTTTGTTTGTTTGATTTAAACTACAGATACTGAGAGTTAAGCTATTCGTTCTTTAGTTCCTGAAGGCTGACAATACACTTTCTAGCAAGATATTACCTGTGAGTTGAGAAATGGCCTGAAATGTAAGCACTGGTTAGAGTGACAATTCAATTTTTTTTTTAAAAATCCAAATCTATATCAGAATTATGTTAACATTCTATGAAGGTTAAATTGAGACAGGACACTAAAACAGAGAGGAAATTTTAAGAAAGAGATAAAACCACAACTTTTTGGGCTGAGTGTGGTAGCACATACCATAACCCCAGCACTTAAGATGCTGAGGCAGGACTGCCATGAGTTCAAGGCCAGGCTGGGCTACATAGTGAGAGATTGTCTCAAAATAAACAAACAAACCAAAAAATCCCAACTTTTAATGAGTTGAATAAATAATATTATACTGAATGTAACTGAAAACCAAGGTTTTCGTCCATAAGAAATATGAGATCTTCAGGTATCTTAAGTACATGCCAAATGCATGTTAGGGTTTGGGAGTTTAGAAAGAAAAGATAAACTTTTTTTTCTTTCAGAAAAACTAATTATAGACCAGCATGTATCATCCATTAAATATCTAACAGTCAACTGGCAGGACACTGGCACAATGAATCACCACGATTCTCAACCCAGCAGCCAACCTATGTGTGAACCTATTAAAGACAGGCCCCACACTATAAGTCTCAACACAAACACCAAAAACACAAAAATAAAAATAACCTGCAGTTAATTTAGGACCATGTTTTTAAACTCTATTCCCATTGTACATCTCAAGCTTGATGGCCGAATACAGTAAGTCTTAGCAGCTTTTCTATTCTACATTTAAAATTTCAACATAAAGTTGTTCCAAGAAAAAAGACTATAACAAAAATTTGAAAACTAACAACATAAAGTGTAAGTTTTAGAAGGCAAACAACTTGGCAAAATAACCTCATACCTTTACCCAGTGTACAGAGCCTTCTCATTAATGGACTCCCCTGGCTCTTGGAAGTCTGGACCCTATAATCATGTCTACATTAACTCAGGTTCAACAGCACATACAGTGGCATCAGGGAGTTCTAATAAAAGCAACACTCCACACACTAAGAGACTGTAGTTTCTTTTAAACTGTGCAAATGAAAACAGAAAAACTAATTATAGACCAGCATGTATCATCCATTAAATATCTAACATGTTTAAATTTTAAACTATAACAAAATCTCATTAAAACATTGCTGAGATTGACAAGATTGATACTAGAATGAAAGAAAAAGTATTATGATCTAACCAAAAAGATTCCATGCTATGACAAAATAGACACTTGGTACTTATTTTATATTATTAAGATATATACACAAACGAGCCTACTAAGATATATACATTTCCACGAGCCTACTCATTTATAACAAGCTTCACTATATGGTGAAAAACAGACTGAAACATAAAGTCACAAAACGTAGATTCTTCATCTATATTATTGGGCTAGTCAGATAATGTTACTGGCCCTGGCTTTTAAATACACAAAGTGAGGCCTAAGAGAGCCATATAATCATGATGTCCAAAGTCACTTTCCATTATTTAAACACACATGATTAGCTCTAGACTGTCTCTAGCTGCATTTTCCACTGTATTATCTCCCTAGCTCAATTCACCAAGAGGAACAGGTATATAGAAAATAGGTGTAACAAAAAAATCACCATTTTCTAAGCAACTCAAGTCCCACATGGCAATGTGGGACATTCATATCCACTTCTCTACTGTTGTGAGCTTATCCCATTTCCTCCAAAACAAACTATGACCTTCAAACCAAAATTCTAGCTCTTAATACAGTGACAAGCTTGTCTATGATAACACACGTAAACTATGGAGTAGCACCTACCTCTTATATTGGCACACTGAGAACTTCCTAAGTCCTTTTAAGGGACACAAAACTAAAAGCCACATTAAACAACCAAATAATGCATAGTACAGACAGTAGCTGGGTCATAAGAGCACAACATAAGAGAAGGAACTGGTGGGATGTTCTAGAGATGGGCTTTCAACTTTCTCCCAAGGTTTACAAAACCATTCATCTGTAAAATACACTTGGCTTTCCAGGAGTTGTAAAAACACTTTTGAACTTTCAGAATGTATTTTGTAAAAATCATTGATGTTTACAGAATAAAGGTAACAGCAGTAGCCTCTTGCATATTATGGCTCTACAACATGCCAGGAAGTGCGCTAAGTAGCTTGCACAAATGATTTCTATTTTTCGCATAACCACAGCAGTTAGATACTCCTCAAGAAATAACACGCCTGATCAACTCCCTCCCATAAATGCTTTCTGCTGCTTGCATGAGTCATCTCCCCTACTTCCTGGCAGCTAAGGTTATAAGAACACTAACTACTATTTGATGTAGTCTGGATTTGAAATGTTCCCGAGAGGCATATGTTAAAGGCATGTTTTAAAAGCACAGTCCTCAGCTTGGTGCTACCCGAAGTTGGTGGAACCTTTAAAGTAAGATATAAAGAAAAGAAGTTAGATCACTGTGGATACCCCTTGACCGGAACACTGGGACCCTAGCCCTTCCTATCTCTCCTTTTGCTTCTTGTTTCTTAGGAGGTGAGCAGCACCGTCACCACACTCTCCCACCATGAGGTACTGTAGCACCACAGGCCCCCCAAAATAGGAACAAGTAACCATGGTCTAAAATTTTGAAAGCTAGGAGCCAAAATAAACCTTTCCTTTCAGGTTATCTCAAGTTAACACACTACTTTTAACAAAGTACCAAATCCTAGGCTTCTTAAATTATTAATGTGGGGGGTAAACACTACAGTAAGTAGTGTTTAAGACATTATTTTCATCCTATCAATTAGGTAAGTGTAACAGAAAAGTGTTTCAATTTTTAAAAACTTACTAATTTAATTAAATTTAATCTAGAGTTAAACTTACCTTTCCACAATCCATTCTGGTCGAATTACTTTTTCTCCCTTTAATTCTTTAATTTTGGCAGTAGGAAGATTTGTGGCAATAATGTGTGTTGTTTTGGACCTGGAGTAATACACATGATACTGGCCTCCATGCAACATCATTAGCTTTCTCAATTCCTCAGCAGAAGGATCTGCAATATTAACACACAAACACATTGAGTTTCATATACAGCAAAGTAGAATACTAGGTCCTCAATAAGTCGACTGAAGAACACCAGTGTCTCACTTTCTCTTGGCTATGTTGCCACTCAATAAAGTTGTAAGGCAAATCACAAAGTGTAGCACATCTTTTTCCCCTGGCTAGCAAAGCTGATCAACACAAAAATGTCTACTACTAGGAGACACCACATAGTGCAAACAAGGACCTCAAGTTGTAAATGAAATACATTAAGAACAAATATTTTTAAATGTTTTACCATATTTGGAATATGCCCTTGATATTGGTGTCTCATGTCTTAAAAAATTAACTATAAACTCACTTATGGTTTACTTTCCAGAGCTAAATCCTTTAACTCCTTCAGAATAATACGAAAGTAGCTCAGAGGTGAAATCCCCTGCCTGGCAAGAGTAAGGTCCTGAGTCTAATTCCCTGGTACCAAAAAAAAAAAAAAAAAAAAGACAAAACAGAATAAAAGTTGTCAAATAAATTACTCATATTGCCAGGTGTGATGGCGCATGCCTGTAATCCCAGCACTTGGGAGGCTGGGGCAGGAGGATCGTTGCGAGTTCAAGACCAGGTTGGGCTACAAAGTGAGCTCAACGCCAGCCTGAACTGCATAGCGAGATCCTATCTCAAAAAGACAAAAAAAAAACAAAAAAAAACAAAAACTCATATTTACTGTTTAAGTTGACTTACTGCAGTTTATAAATAGCCTGCTCTTATAAAGCTTAATAACTTTTATTTAAGAAAATATTTTAAAAGTTAATCAGATAGTTAATCTTATCCAGTTATCCAAAGTGAAACTGCATCAATGCCGAAGAAATTCACCAAAACCAATACCAAATTTATACAGACTAAGAAAGGCCATTCCTCATAATTCTGTCTCAAATTAGTTTATCTTTAATAAACTATAGAAAACATTTTAAACATCATGAGTATTAGAAGCATTGAAAGGAATGTCATAAAGAATCAATGTTGCCAGGCGTGGTGGTGCATGCCTGTAATCCCAGCACTCGGGAGGCTGAGGCAGGAGGATCACTCTGAGTTCCAGACCAGCCAGGGCTACAAAGTGAGCTCAAGGCCAGCCTGAACTACAGAGTGAGATCGTCTCAAAAAGACAAAAAACAGAAACAGAAAACAAAAGAATCAATGTTATGCTTTTTCTTTTTATCTTTTTGAGACAGGGTCTCCCTATGCAGTTCAGGCTGACTTCAAGCTCACTTTGTAGCCCAGGCTGGGCTCGACCTCCCAACGATCCTCCTGCCTCAGTCTCCCAAGTGCTGGGATTACCGGCATGCACCACCATGCTTGGCCCAATGTTATGCTTTCTCATTAAAAAAAAAAAAAAAAAAAAAATGATTCACTATGGTATGATTTACACTGCTTGCATCACACTATTTTCAAACACTTCTAGCTTCTTTCACCTACCAACCTAATGAATACCATACATTATATCCCTCCTAACAAGAATTGTACTCGGCGAAGTTTTCACAAGAGCCTTTTGTATTCACTTTGTTATTCAGCAGCAGCTCTTCCTTAAGCCTATGTGATACAGGCACAAGGGTTTACACAAACAATTTTACTGTGAGAACTGTCCAGGTGAGTTTGAGTCTCTAGAAGTAAAAATACCACATACAGATATGCCAGGTTTGTGTAACTCCTAGTGAATTCTTGCAGCACAGAATTCATCTGACATTATGATTCTATATAATGATTCTATATAACATTGTCCAACAGAAGTATAATGTGAATCACAATGTAAGCCACATAAATATCATTTTGAAATGCAATCAGTATTAAATTTGAGATATTTAGTTTCTTATGTTAAGTATCCAGAACCCAAGAATATAAAACACTAGGCTGAATAATACTTTCTATTTAAAACATATGTCAATTAAACTAGCTACATTTCCAGCACATTACATGACTAGTGGCCACCAAATTAAACTGATATAACAGAGAACCAAAGAAAAACTTTTAGAAAAAATAAACTCAAAATTCATAATGGGAGGTTTTTAGGGGTTAAGGGTCACAACAACTCAAATACAACATTAAAATGATTTCATGTAAAATAGTAGATACTGAATAGCTGGAAGGTAACAATTTATATTTAGTACCAAATTAAAGGGTAGCTCACTATGCATTAACAGGGATACCAAATCCAATAAAAAAAACCCACAAAAATCTAAACCATTACTTTGTAAGTTAATCTACGACTATCTTAAGTCTAATTCTATTTAACGGTTTAAACAGAAAATGGCTTGGTGTCCCACCCAGTTCGAAAGGTGTGTCAGGAACATACGAAAAGCACAGGCAGAGTCATGAAGTACTCTTCCTTCTACTACTGTTCTCTGAAATCTAATTACTCCAGAAATGTGGAACTGGAAAATCTGGAGAGTTCACTGGACAGTGAAGGATTCCACGGGGTGAAGCTGACAGGGTTCTTTGAAGTTCAAGTTTAAAAGCTCTTGCAAATTCTTCAGTGTGAAGCAGACCATGAAAACCAATCTAGTTAAAAGGTAAGACGACATAAATTATTATGTCACACTGACCTGGGTTTAATCTTGGCTTTAACAACCTTTAGCTGTGACTGTGGACAAATAACTCAACTCCTTTATACTTTTCTCCTCTTTCTTCATAAATAAACAGATAAAACTGTAATGATGAAATACATCTGACATATAGGAAACATTCAACATAAAAAAAGATGTTATTATAAACTATGATGACATCAGAAATCCTTTCAAGTAATGCCTATGACTTGAGATGCATGCCCTAGACCTTAAGAAAAAAATAAAACGACAAGATACAAAGGCTAGCATATGGAGACCTTGTCTTTCTACCAAAAGCAGCACGGCCGCTGATGCACTATGGATAGCAACTAGGAACCATTTTATTAAAGTAACAGCCTGGCATGCTAATGCCTGACATGCACTGTAGTTCGTGACTGCCCTTATTTGATTTTTTAAAAATCTTATAAATACTACTTCTCTTTGATTTTATTTCCTCAATGGTAAAACACATACAAGTTCAAAAGTACATAATTGCATAATAAACTCATATTTTACATTTAACAATTCAGCAAATGTAGGGTTAATTAGAAAAAAATGCTTGGGAGACAGTAATCAACACTACAAAATTTATGTGACATTAAAATTGTATGACACATTGAGTATAGTAGGACCCTGTTCCTGCAATCTACCACACCAGTTTTCTTTCTAATACTGGTAATCTGAAGTTACTTTCTCTATTTGTTTACTTATTTACTGTCAAATTTCACCCTGAACATATGCAGTAACCTCGTCTTTGACTTATTTTGATATAACTTACCTAAAGCAGGTACTCAAGCCTTGAGTTCACTCCTATAGCAAAAGTAGAGTAGGAGTTTTACCAATACTTCAATTCTCAAAATACTCACAAACTAGAGGGACCATATAGGAAACTAAAAGAGTAAAGTCACCAAAGCATGACTGACTGGGTTCAAATCCTTGATCTCAGCTGGGTGTGGGTTACATGCCTGAAATCCCAGCACTAGGGAGGCTAAGGCAGGAGGATCGCCAGGAGTTTGAGGCCAGCCTGGGCTACATAAACTAGTTCAAGGCCAGCCAATACTACATAGTGACACCCTGCCTCAAAAAAAATCTAAAAAACAAAACAAACAAACTTAGATCTGTCACTTTATTAGTTGTGTAGACATCAGGCAAGTTACTTTTCAGAGCCTCAACGCAACTTCCTCATGGTAAACCAAGGATGAAAACAGTACATTAGGGGGTTGTGGGGATTAAATGAACTCAAAGTTACAAATTACTCAAGAAATAAATGCCTTGCACACAGCAAGAAATATGTGTCAGTTATTGCCAGTGGTGCTAGTATTATCATCTCTTATTCCAAAGCAGGAAGAAGAAATGCCAAAGCTAAGACTGTTCTCCACCCATAAACCATGAAAGATTTTTAAAGCCACAATCCCTCCTACAAATCTTTCCCTTGTTGGCTACCCTTACCTTTCCATATGTTTTTACTCAAGAATTTCTTTGATGTACTGGGAAATAAAAATAGGAAATGGAAAAAAAAAAAGAAAAACCACTAGGTTGAGCAAAATTTTATCTTCTAAATCAGAGTATCAGGGGGCTGGGGATTTAGCTCAGCGGCAAAAGCACCTGCCTGGCAAGCGCAAGGTCCTGAGTTCGGTTCCTGGTACCGGAGAAAAACCAAAAAAAAAAATCAGAGTATCAAAATTAAAAGTTTTTAAAGATCTATTGCCATTTCATTTTCTACAGTAGCACATACAAGCCTAATCAAGGTAAAGAGACTGAACCAATTCAAACAGACACTCCTCCTTTCATGATCGCGATGTGTTCCTGTAACCAACTCATTAAATGAATTGGTCAGTAAACTGAATTATGTAGGGTGTGCACATTACAATATCCAGAACGAAGAAATGGTTAAAGGAAATGCCAACCTGGTGACTTTAACCTGTGTAACTCTTACACGCAGTACTGTAATGTATAACAGAACCTAAAACTACGGTACTGTACAGTACAATCAGTAAAAATTATAGTACTGTATAAACACAATGTACTGTACAAAAAGACACTGAAGCTCTACAAACAGTATGTACAAAACTCTATTTAAAAATAGTCAGGAGGAAGTCCACAGGCAGGTCCTAAGTCTGAACAGTCATTAAACTGGTAGGTCATTAAACGAGGAATAGCTGTAGTTACCAAGGAAAATTAACACCACTCCCCCTAGTTACCTATCCTCCTTGAACATACTACTTTTAAATGAATTAGGGTGTAAAACAAAAATACTCAACAGATAAAATCCTTACTTGCAGATCACCACAGTAACTTAGTGAGGACCCTTTAAATAAATCAAAGTGTCTCTGAAGTCCCACAAGTGACTTTACCAGAAGAAAAAACAGTACTGGTTCTAACAGAGTTTTTAAAGAGACTTGTGCCCAGCAGAATTACT